GAGTCAAATGATTGCACACCATGCATTAGCGGACTTCCCAGATATTCCACATTTTTACATATATATATATATATATATATATATATACATATATATATATATATATATATATATGTGTGTGTGTAAATATTCATTTACATATATGTATATATATATTTATCATTAGACTATATTGGATTGTCGGAAAAGTCATGAGGTATTTTGTCTGTTTTTCAAAGGTCATTTATTTATATAAAGAACAAATGATATATTTGTTCAATCAATGATATATTGCCCATTTTGTTTGATAACCTTTTGCCATCTTTCAGTGAGCTTCATAATTCCTTGTTCATAGAGGGACCTGTCTTTATTTCCGAAAAACTGAACAAGGTGCTGATTTACAGCCTCATCTGAACTGAATGTTATACAATGCAAGGAGTTTTGAAGTCAGCGAAACAAGTAGAAGTCTGACGGTGCAAGGACAGGTGAGTATGGTGGGTGTGACAAAATATCCCATCCAAGCTCCAATAATTTTTGACTAGTGATCAAACTTGTGTGTGGTCTTCCATTGTCATAATGGAACAGAATGCCTTTATAAATAACAAGCTCTGGACGTTTCTGGAAGATGGATTCTTTCAAACTGTCCAATTGCCGACAGCACACATTTGAATTGATTGTACGGTTCCTTGGTAGGAGCCTGAAAAACACGACACCTTAAAAATCTCACCACACTGACAAAATAACCTTCCTCTGATGAATGTCTGCTTTGGATGTCGTTTGAGGTGTTTCATCACGTCGGTACCAAGACCGTTTGCACACCACATTGTTGTTAACAATCCACTTCTCATCACCAGTTATGAGTCGCTTCAAAAAAGGATCATTTTCCTCACATTTAATGAGCATATTGCAGATGTTTATATGCATTGTCAAATGAACTTCTTTGAGTTCATGGAGAACTCAAATATCAAGCTTGCTTACATATCCAAGCTTCTTCAGGTGGTCATGAACGCTTGAATGATGGATGTTCAATGTTTCTGCAATCTCTCGTGTCATGTAACGTGGGTTTGACTCGATCAATGCCTTTATTTTGTCGTCATCAACCTCAGTGGGCCGCCCTGACCGAGGAGCGTCATTGAGATCAAAATCACCAGCACGGAATTTCATGAACCATCGTTGGCACTGATGTTCTTGTAGAGCATTGTCACCATAAACTTTATGCAACTTTTCACAAGCTTGATGCGTGTTCTTCCCTTTATGGAAGTAAAACAGTAAAATATGGCAAAAATGTACAGTTTGGTCTTCCATCTTCAACTTGCTGTAAAATCTCCAAAATTCAACCAAATTGCTCAAATTTTTTTTAGAATGAAGTTAGAACTGTCAGCTGTCAAATGACATAGCAAAAACATAGATGTGAATGACTCTACTACTTCCAAAAATGGACTAATGCCATCTGTTGCAAACATGCGTCATGACTTTTCCGGCAACCCAATATATCATTACAACACTGTTTTGTGTCTTTACATTCAGAAACACATTATTTAGCAAATGTAACTCCTTACAGTGACGGTTTTCCCAAGACATCTTATACCTTTCATGTCTTTTGGCAACAGGGATTTTACTATGAGTAACGGTCCCAGTTTGGTTATGTCCTTCATAATATCCCTTCAGTCCTTCACAATTCCCCTCACATTCCCACTTTTTCATTAAAGGTAGATACTCAAGGAATCACCTTCTATATCTTACCAGAAGCATTCTGTGGAATGAATCTTGTATGACCGGTTTTGGCAACAAAGCGTGGGTGTCTTCAGAAGGCATAACTGCAAGGCACCAAATAAATTATCACTCTTTCTACAGTCAGCTAAATTCTACTGCACAAATTTAATACTGATTACAGGACGTTGATGGTGCCATACAATTAGAAATGAATTAAAAGATTTCATTAGAGGGCCGGCCGAGTGGCGCGGTGGTTAAGAGCTGGCTTGGGACGCCAGAGTGCCCCGGTTCGGATCCCACATATGAGGGCCAGTGACACTGCCCTCTACAGCTAAGATGCTGAACAACAGCTCAACCTGGAACTGGGCTGCTGTGAGTCACTGGCGACTGCTGCAGCCCCTGTGGCAGTGGGTTGCCATGGGCTACCGTGTATAGCCAGCAGCAAGCATGAGCGGCCAGCAGCCACTGTGAGCGGCCATCCAGAAGCCAGCGACTGATCTGCCTCGCCCGGGAAGAGCACAATGATGGTGCCCACTTGGGCCAGTGAAGCAACGTCCTCCACAACTAGACTGAAGAACAAAACGACAGCAACTTGCCTGTTCCCTTTCCCCCAATTGCCCAGCGCTGTTCCCATCCTCCAATTCCCCAATAAAAATCTTTAAAAAATAAAAAAAAAGACTTCATTAGAGTTGACATAATACTGTCAGAAAATTTATATGTAAATTCTTCTCCACCAACACGTGACTCATTATGTGTTTATTCCAGAAAAGAACACATAGCTGAAACTCCAATTTAAATGTTATTAAGTCTAATGGGAACTTAATTTCATACATTTCAGATTTTTCTCAAGGGAAATTCTTAAATAAGTTTCTGTTTTTGCAATCCATAATATTAAGTAATGAAGTCCCATGTTTGAAACCAAATATTAAGGTTTCAAAAGGAGCAAAAACAAACTAGTCATCCTCATTAAGAGTACAAAATGATGGCTGGCCGAGTAGCACGTTGGTTAAGAGTTGGCTTGGGACGCCAGCTCTGAGCAGCAGGGCCCCGGTTCGGATCCGACATAGGGCCAGTGACACTGCCCTCTACAGCTAAGATGATGAACAACAGCTCGACCTGGAGCTGGGCTGCCGTGAGTCGCCGGTGACGGCGTAGGCTGCAGTCCCCTGCTGCAGTGGGCTGCCATAAGCTACCGTGAGTGGCAGGCAGCCAGCGTGAGCTGCCAAGAGCCGCCGTGAGCTGCTGTCCAGAGGCCGATGACCCATCTGCTTCACCCAGGAAGAGCGCAATGATACCAACATGAGCCAGTGAAGCAATGTCCTCCACAACTAGACTGAAGAACGAAAGGACAGTAACTTGTCTGTTCCCCTTCCAGATTCCCCATCGCTGCTCCCCTTCCCCAATTAAATAAAAAAAGTATAAAATGAAAAGCCACAGACTGGGAAAGAATATTTGCAAAAGAAATACCTGTAAAAGTCTAATATGCAAAACACACAAAGAAGTCTTTAAACTGATCAATGAGAAAACCACCAACCTGATTAAAAAGGGCCAAAGCCCTAAACAGACACCACTGAACAAGATATACAGAAGACAAAATGATATCTAAAAAGATGCTCCACATCGTATGTCACCAGGAAAACGCACATGAAAACAACAAGAAGAATTAAACACATAGCAAATTAAACAACACTACACACTATTACGAGGGACCAGAACCCAGAACACGGACATCAAGTGCTGGTGAGGACGGGGAGCAGTAGGAACTCGCACTCACTGCCAGTGGGAACACAAAATGCTGTAGCCTCTTGGGTACACAGTTTGCCAGTTCATATAAAACTACACATCCTCTCACCACACAATCAAGCAATTGTGCTCCTCCCTCAGTAGTTACCCACAGAGTTGAAAATGTTTATCCACCCAATAGCCCGGCACATGCATGTTCACAGCAACTTTATTCACAATTTCCAAAACTAGGAAGCAACCAAGATGTCTGCCAAAAGGTGAATAGATGAGTAAACTCAGGTGCATAAGACAATGGAATATTATTCAGTGCTATAGAGAAAGATGCTATCGAGCCATGAGAAGACGTGGAGGAAACCTAGATACATATTAAGTGAAAGAAGCCAATCTGAAAAGGCCACATAATGTATGATTCCAGCTGTGACATTCTAGAAAAGGCAAAATGATGGAGACAGTAAAAAGACCACTGGTAGGGCCGGCCGAGTGGCTCAGTTGGTTAAGAGGTAGCTCAAGAGTTTGAGCTCTGAGCAACAGTGGTTTGATGCCCAGCCCGAGCTGAGCAGCCGCTGAGCTGCCAACAGGTGGCAGGATGGCTCAGCTTAAAAAAAAACAAAGCTAAAAAACAAAAACAAAACAAAACCACTGGTGGCCAGGGCTGAGGGGAGGGAGAGATAGACAGGCGAAGCACAGAGAGTATTCAGGGCTGTGACACTACTCTGTATGATATGTCATTATAAATGTCCCACACGCTCAGAACAGACAGTCCAACAGTGAACCCCAAGAACTATGAACTCTGTGTGACAATGATGTGTAACTGTAGATTCACCTATGTAATAAATTTACCACTTGGGGGAGTACGTGGAAAAGGGGAAGGCTGTCCATGTGGGAGGGGCATTTGGGAATTCTCTGTAACTTCTACTCAATTTTGCTGTGAACCTAAAACTGCTCTTAACATAAAAGTCATCCTCAGACTTCTGCTTCTCTGAGCCATCTGATCTCAGTTCCATGTCTTTCTAGTGGTTCATTAGGCTTATACGAGAACATAAATGTTTGTATCTGCTACTTAAAAAAACACAATGACAGGGTCGGCCGCATGGCTCAGTTGATTAAGAGTTAGCTTACGAGCATGAGCTCTGAGCAACAGGGCCACCAGTTCAATTCCCACATGGGCTAGTGACGCTGAGCCCAAGCTGAGCTGCCACCAGGTGGCAGTATGGCTCAGCTGGTGAGAGCACGTGCTCCTAACAACAAGACTGCCTATTCAATGGTGAACTATGCCCGCCTGCAACTAAGACTGAACTCAGCACCTTGAGCTGAGCTGCTGCCCAGATAAGTCAGTGGATAGAACGCACAATCTTAACAACAAGGCGGCAGGTTCGACTCCCGCATGGGATGGTGGCTACACCCACCCGCACCTAAGATTGTAACACAGCACCTTGAGCTTAGAGGCCACGAGCTGCCGACAGGCAGCCAGATAGCGACTGGCACCCTCCACAACTAAGATTGAACAAAAACAACTTGGCTGGTCCCCTTACCCAATTCCCCAACACTGTTCCCCCCACCAAATAACCCAATTAAAAAAAATAAACCAAAACACAATAACATACATATCGCATCACATTAATTAGGTTGACACTAACAAAGGAGCACAAAATTTCAAGTGTTGGCAAAAATGTGGAGAAATTGTCCCTTATGCACTCTTGGATGAAACAATTGGTGCAAACAGTATGAAAAATAATATGAAGGTCTTTCAAAAAATTAAAAATAGAATTGTGCTGTGATGCAGCCTTCCCATTTCTGGGTACATTTCCAAGAGACTTCAAAGGAGTCTCCGCAAGAGCCACGTGCACACCCATGCACACTGTAGCACTATCCACAAAGCCTGTAATAGGATGAAGCAACCCAAATGGCCATCGATAGATCAACGGGTGAAGAAATGTAGCATATACATACAACGGAATATTATTCAGTCCTTGAAACAGAAACAGATGCTCTCACCTGATACAACACAGAAAAACCTTGAAGACATTTAAGTAAAGCTCACCAGTCAGAAGAAACAGATACTATGTGAGTCGCCTAATGCAGTCCTCCTCACAGAACAAAAAGAAGGGTAGTAGCCAGAGGCTTGGGGTGAAGGGAAATGAAGGAGTGGTTGTTTAATGGGTACACAGTCAGTTTTGTAAGATGGAAACGTCCAGAGATCAGTTGCACAACAATGTGAATATACTTAACACGACTGGACTGTACAGGTACAGAGGGTAGAATTTTGGTCACAGGTTTTTACCAAAATTGAAAATGAAAAATATCTAAAACAGATACTGTTATAAAACATTTCAAAAATTATCTGGATTTCAAAAAAGTGGTTGTCTCACAAAGAGAATCTACAACCATCAGAAATCACTGTGAAATTAACACTATTGCCACAACTACTTAACTAAGCAGGATAAGAAAAGCACTGACCACTAACCAAACAATAAATAAATAAACAAGATGAGTCATGCATAAAGTTGGAGTAAAATGATGATACAGACAACAATGCACATGTTAATGGAAATAGACATATGCATGATTCATATGTGAATCAAACCCCATATTGTCTTAAGTGTACTGAGCTGAAAAATGGCATTCACATTCATAATATCTATGTAACAACCAAAAATGTAAGTAACTAAATTTGAAGAAACTACCATAAAAAAAAGCATTGTTATGGAATTGTAAAATGAGAATAAGAGACAAAAGATCCCCAGAGCTGTGAACACTACACAGATGTACTATTGAGGAGAATCCTTCTGTAGAACTCAGATTCCACCGTCAGTGTGGCCCCACGAAGAGCAAGCATTCTCAATCATTGGAATACGTGTTGTAGGAAAGGAAAATTTCCCAGACAATCCATTACAATCATTCATAAATAGCTCTAAGGAAAATTTAATAAATAAGAATGTAAATAACACTGGAGAAATTTATTAGGTCATAAATATATTGCTATTATTTTTACAGGAAATATATAGGCTGTAATCCATCAAACACAGAACAAAAAAAAAAACATTTCTAAAACAAGGAACAACAAAAAAGTAAAATATCACAGAATGAGTGATCTATAAAATCAAAATTTGAGATTAAAGTACACCATGATTGAGAGACATGCTGAGGAAGGCAGATGAGAAACCTCATGATTACCTTCTGCCTGAAGAAAACTGAAATTGAGGAAGCAAATAATTTCCTAAATATGGAAACATAACAATTCTACAACTTACTTCTTAAGGATTTCATTTGAGCATGTTGTAGCAGCACTTCTGAATCTAAAACCAGTAATCTGACAAAGATCTATTCAGAAATGGAAAACATACAAAACACAGTCCCAGGAAGCATTGGACTGAACAAGACAGAATTATAACACGCTAGTCATTAAGAAATCAGGGAACAATGGAGACCTCCCTATACGGTGGGCAATGTTCTAAGCTCCCCTATGGCATTATTCATTTAAGCATTCTGTGAAGTAAACAGATATATTAAACTATTCTTACATGCCAGAATTGGGAGTAGAAACTCAAAATTTCTAATGTTAGTTCGTGCAAAGCAAAAGGACATTTTGAAGTGAAACCAAGATTGAGGGTTTCTGACTTTAGGGAGGTGCCTGGTGCTGAGAAGAAATTACTGAGTCTTAACTTTGTAGGGTTATGTTTGAAGCCTCTTTAGGATTAGAAATTATAAAGCAGAAAATGTATGACATCTGTCCCCAGTGCCCCTGGAATTTCTACATCAAATTCCAGGACCTCCACCACTTCCTTAACAAACTCCTTACAAAAGGCAAGAACGGAACTTTAAATATGGCTTCAGTGAGAATTCCCCAACAGACAGCACAGATTTTCCAAGGCCTCCGAGGCAATGGAACAGTAGCCAGCCCATGGTGGTCCCCACAGAAAAGGAGGACATCGGCCTTCACTGCGATTGTGACCCAGATCACTGAGGACAGTCCCTAAAGATGTAGGAGCATGGGACATGTTGGACAGGACTGTCCATCTGTGACAGCAACAGAAAGAAACCTGGGCTTCTCACATCCTTTCCCCTGAAGCAGAGCCCCCTAAACCACATCTTAAGGTCTGGCTTCCTCAGAGACCTTTGACCCTCTCACCTGTGCCATCTGCTCCTTCATTCCCACCTACCTGGGAGGATGGATACTGTCTTTTTTTGCTTCACATCCCAGGCCTCCTTCATTCTCTCCAAATAGGTAACCAGGTCTGGCTTAGAGACAGCAAGACCTGTTTATTAGTAAAAGGAACATGAGTTTTGATGGAAATTCTCCTATTCTCAATCCAGTATGTGGCTCAGGTGAGAAGAGAGGACATAGCAAAAATTAGAATGTGCTATAACATGATTCCCCCAAACAGTTATCTGACAGCACCTTTATTCTACTAGACAACATGGAACGTTTTCAGATCCTGAGTTCCACTTCAAGGACATCATGAAGACTTCTTTTCTACAGCAAACCCCTAGTTGGTACTCAGAGCCGGGATCTTAAACTCGACCACATAGAGTAGAATCTCCCAGGAGACGCTCTACTGATGAAGAAAACACACCCCTGCGGTGGGGTAGGAGTTCTGGAAGGAAGTCAGCCTCACCCAGGGAGCGCAGGTTCCTGTAGTTCTCCAGCATCACGTCCATGTACAGTTTCCGCTCAGCCGGGTGCAGGCACTCCCACTCTTCTTTAGAGAAATCTATGGCCACATCCCTGAATGTCAACCGTCCCTGAAACAAAAGACACATTTACCACGTGGCCACAGACAAGATCATAACATGACTCAGTATGAAAAGAGAGTTAAGAGAACTGGTTTTGACCTAGGAGAGTATCCGGAATTAAACAGTAAGGTCACTGACAGTAATATTCTCTAGTGTATTTTCTAACTCTAAGAAAGGAGGATAATATATGATCCACAAACTGTACAGACTTTCCTTTTCTGGAAGATAAATTATCAAGCGTCAACACAGGCATATGGATTTTTGTGTGTTATATTTGTATCATACAGGATACACTGTGTACATTTCTCGGCTGGAAATGTCATGGTGAGTTAAAAATGCCAAGTGCTTCTCTAATTTTCATGTGGACACCAAGGAACTGGATTGTTGTAAAAATGCAGATTCCGATTGAGGAGTTCTGGGGTAGGGCCTGAGTTTCCACATTTAACAAACTCACTTTTAACTAGTAACACCAGTGTCTCTGGTCCGTGTGTCAACACTATTGAATAGCACAGAGGAAGGAAACAGGGTAAAATTCATATATGACTTTGAACTGACCGAGTTTTATGGAATTTACACTTGTCACAGAAGCACAGCAACACAATTCTTTTTGAAAACTTACTGTATAATAGAGCATTCTTTTTTATATATTAATTCATAATGCAAATAAGTAATCTAAGAACAATATTATTCTTCCTCTTGTATGAAAATATTTTGTAAAGCATCTAATAAATGGGAGAGCCTGGGTTTTACTCCAAACTGTCTCTACAATTTATAAAAAAGGACAGAAATCAACATGATAGACAAACTTCATGAACGTTCACAGCAGTTTCCATAACTCAGAAGAAGAGAAACACCTTAAGCAAGTAAGAAGTAATAGCTCAAATAGTGTTAACATTTTATGGACACAGACATATGGGGAATGCATGCACATCAAAAGTGACAGGGAAGGGCCGGCCGAGTGGCGCGATGGTTAAGAACTCGCTTGGGATGCCAGAGGGCCCCGGTTCGGATCCCACATATGAGGGTCAGTGACACTGCCCTCCACAGCTAAGATGCTGAATAACAGCTCAACCTGGAGCTGGGCTGCCGTGAGTCGCCGGCGAC